TTCAAAATTGTGTTTACTTCTATGTGAACTTCTGATCAATCCTCTTTCAGAATTTTTGAAATGCAGATTGTATTAGAATCTATCCATGAAGATCTGAGCGCTTCAGTTCAAGAATAGATGTGTTGTTCACTCAAGCAAACATGTGTCATCCAGTCATCAGCTGTTTCTTGAGGCTGAACACGTGTTCACGCTTCTGAAAAGGCAAAGCGCTGATTGGATGCATTGAGATACATGTCATGGATAACCGTTTAAGTATCTTTCTGAATCCCCTAAAATCAGCTATCATTTAATGCTAATAATCATTATTAATTTCTCTCTCTTAAACGTTTAGGTTTTCAAAAACTTTTTAGAAATCTATTTAAACACTTCACACCATTCACACACTTTTACCGTCACCTTCGTTTTCTATTAACATTTATGATTTCTGTATTCTTACTTTCTCAAGAAAACCTTTCAATCTCTTTCAAAAACCTCGTGTGAACATGGCTTCTTCCAGCAATCCTTCTTCAGGTTCCCAGAAAGATGCATCATCTGAACAATATGAAGTTCCTCTCAGAACGCTTCTCACTCCAATCAAGAACCTTGAAGTTCTGTCTGAAATAATAGTGGATTTCAACAGTCTCAAGGAGAATGGTTTTGATTTATCTGAAGAGGTTCAAGCTCAAGGTTGGGAAAAGTACTTTGACAGGCTGGTGGGTCCAACATTTCCTATTCTGGTAAAGGAATTTTGGATTCACGCTTCTTCTTCAAATCACCAAGTTACATCCTACATCATGGGAAAGAAGATTGTGATTACTGAAGACCTGATTGCAAGACTGATAGGCTACAATGGTGGTGGTATTCCCTGTATTGATATGGCAGAAAGGTGTGCAGATGTTGCTGTAATTGCAAGGTAAATAAATTGTAAGATTTATAAGACATATATGCTAATTAAAAATATGTGTATTTACAGAAACTCTGATGGAATCAGCATCAGAATATCAGTATCAACATCAGCATCAGATGATATGTCTGCATCAGAAGATCAAACATGTGCTACACTGAAGCCTGGTGAACAGAATCTGCGCAAAACATACTCTGACTCTGATCAAGATCCTAACCATCTCATCAGCACTCAGAAACGCCAGAATAAGCTAAAGCCAAGAACACTCTGATTAGCATTAGCAGAATACTCTGAAGTGTCAACGTTACTATGCATTCAAGACATATTAATTACCAACGGCTTTATTCCAAGACAAAGATCTTCTCAAAAAGGAAAGAACGTTATGAGCATTGAAATGGATTTATGGACAGCAACATATATATTCCTAGGCTATTTAAACAAGTCAGTGAGAAAAGAATTGGCTAATACTCTTTACGCACACACGCATACGAAAACTCTCTCACTCAAATTGCTAAAGCTTTCAACCACGCCTACTTAATAGCATTAGTAATCTAGTTTCATCTAAGCTTCATATTGTGTATTATCACAGTTGTGATATATAGTTTTTCTAGAAAACATCAAACACACATTTGTTCATTTATCTGTAAAAGAATTTCCTTGAGATAAACCGGTTTGTGGTTAGACTCAAGAAGGCTTTAACAGTTGTTAAAGCAATTGTGTATTCAGTTGAATATAGTGGATTAAGACCTCGTTGGAGAGAGGCGAAATCACCTTGACAGGTGGACTGGAGTAGTTTGAGATCAAACGAACCAGGATAAAAATAACGTGTTGTCTGCATTTGATTTCAAGTTTTACAATTCAACCCCCCTTCTTATGTTTTTCACATCTTCATAGACGTCGTCCTCCGACCGGTTCTCACCGAAAACGGATGGCTGAGCAGCAGTCAGAGTTATACGCACCCCGTCTTCGGGGTGTTAGAGTATCTAGTGCTGAGGAGGTAGAGGCTCCTACTGAGGAGGTACATGCTCCTATTGAGGACGTACATGCTCCTACTGAGGATGTACATGCTCTTGTTCCTATTGTGGAGTCGGTAGTTGGGGAGCACATTGTGGAGCATGTGATACAGGAGGCTGAGCATGAGGTTATTACTGAGCGAGTTGATGAGGTGTCCCCCGCTGATACAGACACCACGACTCGTGCGTCTATAGAGCCATCCGTACACACTGATAGAGGTTTCTGAGACGCAAGTGCTACAGGAGTTTGGTGAGACTCGGGGATTTCACCTTCAGATGTCTTGGATGAGGAGGTTGTATGGGGAGCTTGTGGAGGCACAAAGGTACCAGGCTGCCGCTAGGGCGTACATGCTACATCTGGTGGCATGTACTCTTTTTACGAACAAGTCTTGAGTTTATAAAAATGTTTGGTACTTATCTCTCTTCAGCGCACTTGACACTCCATATTGAGCTTGGGGAGTGGCGGACTTGACCATGATATACACGACACTTGACGTTGCTTCTCATCCTGAGACCAAGCAGCTTGTTGGTTACCTCATCTTGTTACAGGTATACTATAATTTATTTAATGGTTTTTATTAATTATTTGGGTGTATTTATTTGATAGTTTTTATTAATCATTTGGGTGTATTTATTTGATAGTTTTTATTAATTATTTTGGTGCATTTATTTGATGGTTTTTATTAATTATTTGGGTGTATTTATTTTATGGTTTTTATTTATGCAGTGTTGGATATACGAGCACTTCTCTCACATTTGTGGTTTTAGAGACACATCCTCAACTCCCCTGTGAGATCATGGATACAGTCGTTGAGGTTAAGCATCCTGGACAGTGTGAGGATGGATACTTGGATTGATTTCATAGTGTGTCACACCCTTGGGTCATACCACCGACTGCAGCATTTGATGTTCTGGTGCCTTATGGTGTCAAGGTTTCTACCGAGCCACCACCCCCACCTCCACCACCTGCAGGAGATTAGGACAGCTGCCTCCAATTTATTGCAGTTCATGCTAACAGTCTCATGAGTTTGGTAAACCCAATTGGTAAGATCAATAGAGATTTCGCTAAGTTAGCCAACGTAACCCGTGGAGGGCCTATGTAGATCTATTTTATTTTGGTTGTATTATATGTATATTTTGTGACACACAGATTTCTTATTTATTGTATAATATTTTGGCAATTACATGTTTCGATTCGATGATGAACATAACATAAAATAGTGCAACAAACATTAACCCTAAAATAACTAAACATGAAAATCTAGACACTTCCGGATGACTCTAGATGTTTCAACATCTTCATTATATCGAAGAATCTTCGGATCTGCGCATCCAACTCGATCAGACTTTTAGTTATCCTACGGCGAAATGATTTCCACATGGCCTTCACATCTTCATCATTCTTCAACTCGATTAGGTTGTATTTAACACTTCCATTTGTATCAATCCAATCCTTCTGAAACTCTACATTTGTCACCCTTCTGTTATCGGAATCAGGTAGCAAATTATTCAACATTTCTTTCAAGGTGGCAAAGGATTCAGAGTCATCTCAAAGCTTGAATTCAACATGGAGATTATTGTCGTTGTAATACACTTTTGTCTTAATTAGAAATTGGGGAAGAGACGTTTTTTTAGATGTATTTTCTCTATAACACATGCCCATATTTATATAAATGGTGATGCATTCTAGATCACACAAATGTATTGGTGCAATCAGAACCATCCAAATATGTCGGTAAAATCTCAGTCGTTTAAAAAACCATATTTTTATTATAACTATCGGAAATTTCAGTTAATTTGAAATTTCCGGTACACCGAAAATTTTAAATACACTACCAGAAATTTACACATACCGGAAATTTTGTAGAGGTATATCAAAAATTTGAGTGATACCGGAAATTTCAGTTAATTTGAAATTTCCGGTACACCGAAAATGTTAAATACACTACAACCGAAAAAATTTGAGTGGTACCAAAAATTTCAATTAATTTGAAATTTTCAATACACCGAAAATGTTAAATACACTATCGAAAAAATTACACATATCAGAAATTTTGTAGAGATATATCGGAAATTTTAATCCTTCTACGAAAATTTCGTCTGAAAATAGTGTACATCTCACTTAAAGATAAAAGTGAAATAAAAAAATTAGGAGAATGAAATAAAAAAATTAGGAGAATGACATTTTATTTAGAGAGTTAGGAGAATGACATGTTTAATTTCTCCCACTATAGACGTAACCTAAACTAAGGTTTTCCTATTTCTTGTTTTAAACATAAGATGATTATCATTCTATAGTTTTTTTATTTCTAGTATATTACGTTATAATTTAAACAAAACGAATTACACTATTATACATTTATAATATTAATACTAATAAATTTTCTTACCATTGTAAATTAAATGTAAACTGTACTAAATTAGATTAAATTATTTACAAGTCATCCAAATCAAACAACTTGTAATTTTTATTTTTAAATCAGACAAACTTTTACTTCAAAATTGATTCAAACAAAACTTTACATTATTTTGGACCCGAAATAAGCTTGATTGTAAGAGTTTGATATTGTTGCATGAAGAGGTGGAGTTTAAAATTTTGTTAATGTATTATATTAAACCAATATTTGAGATTAAATTGTTTTATGTATTTGAGAAAATTATTAAATTAAATTTTAAGTAAAAATGTCATTGGTTGGGTTTAATTGATTTAGAGACACATCATAGCAAATCATGGATTTTTGAAAACATTAATTTTTCTTTTTATCAATTATATAATCCTTTTTTAGAAGCCAAAACTGGCATGAGGGTTGTGGCTAATATGGAACACCATCATAGGTGGTCTGTGATGAACTACATTTTCGTTTAATCACTCCCGTCGATCTTACTGTTTCATCAGATGTAACTCTAAGACTCTAGAAAAACAATAAAAGCGTCCATATATTTGGGCTTTAATCACATGATTTACACAAGAAACTACATGTGGCTGGCAAATTTCTATCTGATCAAACTCTTGCAGAAATACTTTCAAGACAGAAGAAGTTAGCCACCATTGCCAAATGAAACTTACAAACATTGTCAAAAGGCTTATCAAATCAGTAGAGATGCTATGGACGAAAAATTCTGATAGCTCTTGTAACTTGAAGCCGACAAAAGGGACACTTTGATACTGCAGAAGAGCATTTCCGACACAACACATGACCACAAGGAACTAATGTTATATCAACCTCATAGCTCAGACAAACCCGACAAGTCCATGCTGCTTTTGCTGTATCAGCCTCTTTTGTTGATCGTTCAACCTTTTCCTGTACAGTACATTATAATGTCGTAAGTCATTTCAAACTAATCCAAATTTCGGTCTACCATATAAATGCATCTCAAAGAATCTGGAAACTATTACTTATTTAAATTAATATAAAACCATTCTCAGTTATTTAAGGCATTGAACGGTTCAGTTATTTAAGGCATTGAACGGTTTACAGAAAGCAAGAGCTTCAAGTTACAATCAATTCCAGAGGCAAATCAATTCTACTAGAGAATATTCGAACATGTCAAATCAATTTTACACCTATAGAATCAACTTTGACTTCTCCAAAAATGAAATCAAGCATAAACATAGACCTAAATTAGAAATTACCAACCTGCTCCAACAGTAGTGCTGCCTGTGATTCTTTCAGATTTTCTTGCAAATCTACTGTTTTTTGGAGTAGAGCCTGCTTCTCAGCATCCATATTGATCCCAGCAGCAGAAAGAATTTCATTTACAGCGTGCACCAGTTCCGCAGCTGAAACTTTGCCAGACTGCTCTCTCAAAGATGGCACCTGCAAACACACAAAATTCTCATTCAGTTTAAGCACATCAAGCAAGACCTACAAGCAATATAAAAAATGCCACAGCATGAATAATACGCTTTGCATGAAAGATTGTGAGTAACAAACAGTTAAAGGAAGATACAGTCTTAAACAATATAGTTAGCAGTTGAAAAGGTATTTCATTTAGACAACATTGCCCGAAACTTATTAATGTTCCCTCAGAACCAAAACAACTAAAATAGTATCACCACTCTCGTATGTGAAGATAAGTATTATTCAGGTCTATGTTATTGGAAAATATGCAATGGGTCATGAATTACAATGCCTGTAATGACTGCAGATTTAATGAAAGAAAAATCCTCTTTCCTAGATAAATAATCAGAAAAGGTGGGAAAAGTTCGAAGCATATAGCACATCAAATAAATTCTAACTAGAAAAAAAAAAAGTCAACACACTGAACCTGAGAGTTGAGTTCTCTCCTTCCTGAACTCTCTGGGAAATCAACGCGGGAGCTGTTACTTGCTAATACGGGGCTATCATGCATCGATGTTTCTTTCAGGGGACTGCTTGCTGATACACTTTTAAATGAAAATACTTGTGATGAAAGGAAAGCTTCTGTAACCCCTGGTGCAACTTCAATTTTAAATCTATACAGAGCTGCTTGACCTGCTGGTGGTCTGACATCCTCAGAAACCCTGCCATATTTCAGTTTTTCTCCATGTTGAGATCGCCATGCAACTATTTCCCCAGAATAAAAGGGCCTCAATGGATGGAACTGCACAAGACGAGCATCTTGTGGCAATAGATCTTTGCCCACCATATTGCTACTTCCATTCACAGATTCAATTTCTTTCTTGTCCGAGCAAAGTTTTAAAACATTAACAACTGCATTCTCAAATCCTTCTGGACAGTCAAATAAGGATCCAATAGGCAATATGATAGGAGAGCCTAATACCTGGCTGACAATTATAGAAATGAGATCGAAAAGGGAAATATATGATGGTGGTTCAGCAATTAGAATACATGATCTTGTTTGGTTCATATAATAGAGAGTTTGATGTGCAGATTCATTATTCCACTCTGGGATAATGAAATCTTTGGATGCACATGTAACATCTACTAAATTCGGCAAGAGCAAAAACCTTGTTTTAAGGTACTTAACAAATTGCAGCTTTTCTGCAATAGAGTTCAATATGCTTTCTATTTCTTCCAATGGGAATCTATTCAATGCAGGAATGTAACTCCCCATACTATTAACAACAGTCCATACAGCACTTTGAAGAGATTTGCTTGACAACTTCTGTTTGATGGTCACTAGTGAAACAGACCCCACAGATCGCAAAGTCTGAAGTATCTGATTCTCATCTAGTTCCTAAAATCACATAGAAACCTTTCGGTAAGTAAAAGCCTCGTCAATTTAAAAATAACATTACATTACATAGGAAAATGCATCTGAAATCTTATTACCTCGATGACGACATCAGACAATTTTTTAATGCCCAGGACAAGACATACTCTCTCAGGAAGATCTGCGTGGACAAATCTAATCCTAGAAGTATTAATACACTTGACATATCGAGAGCCATCAGAATCAACATAGACACAGGATGTGGAATGAACAAGTCTGCAGCCATCGTCAGGTACTATGACTTCTGATTTCCAATCATAACCATTAAATGGGTTCCCCTCACCAATTTGGTCGCAAATAAAATTCAAAATTTCCATCACAGCACGGAGCTCATTGGGATTTAAATGCTGATACCCACAAGCTTTCTGAAGATTTAAGAGAAGATCTTTTGCAGCGGACAGTGTTAGCATATCTTGGAGTCCTAAATCTTTAAGAATCTTTGCAAATGGGAGATATACAGCCGGAAGTTCAAAAGCAAATGGAGACAAATTAATCATCAAACGAGCAAAAAGAGCATCAGCGGTCACTAAGCGTGTTCCATTTGCCGCAGGCAGAAAGGCCACCCCCCTTAGCTCTGCAACATCTGTCAAAGCAAAAATTATTAGAAAATCAATGAACTTGTTTTATACCATCACTAAGCTTCTGTACATGTCAGGTCACTACTGACCCAAATGCAATAAAGTGAGAGTAGTGAAGCACCTGACGGAGAAAGGGAACCCCAGATTTTGTCCAAATACTTTAGAATCTCACAGGTACATTTTTCAATGTCCAATCCTGAAACAATGGGCCAATGAGCAAGAGTATCTTCACCTCCATTTTTTCCAATCACCTAAGATAAAACAATGTTAGAAATTAGAATGAAATTCATATAGTTAAGTCATACAGATAGAGTTTTTTTTAGATGGTGTCATATAGATAAGAGTAAGTGAACCAAAAGTATCAAATTTACTTGCAAGTGCTTCAAAACTGTGGAAAAAGCTGGAGGGCTGCGAAGATGGAGAGCTCCCCAAGAGTACTCTGGAGGCATAACATATTGTCTGCATAGAATGGGAGCACAACTCCAAGCCAGAGGCCAATCTTTAGATAAAATAGCTTCACTATATGAAGCAAGCACCCTCTTGCAACCAACACTTGGAAACCCCAGTTCAGCAGGTACACATGCAATCTTGCCAAGAAGATCACAGAAGTTGTTGCTAAAAAAGAGAGCAAAGTTAGAGAAAACAAATTCAACTACAGATCCTCCCAATGCCCATACTTCTGGTGAAACTTCAGGACGAGAGTTGGTTGTGTCTGCCCCAAAATCATCCAAATCACCTGATTTCATGCACTCAATTCCAAGAAACTCAACTCTTTTGGCACATTCCATAATTACATCTACATCACTAGCAGTTCGAAGCCCAAGTTTCCTTAATATTCGAATCCAACCTTCAGTGCTAAACCTTTCCCCAGGAAACTTTTTTCTTTCACCAAAGAAAATAGATATCAATAAAGCATCACCAGGATCAAATAGTTCCATGGGCTTCAACAGATCTGTTGAAAATTCATCAGAACTTCTAACAAATTTAGTCTCTTTCAAAGCTTCAACAACAGATTGATCTGATTGAAGATCATGCCAATTTTTAAAAACATAAACTAATATTTCCTCTTGCATATTCTGAAGCTTCCTTTCAAAGTGGGGCAAGCCAAACCGTACTAAGATCTGTTGATCATGCAACTCCAGTACCCCAAGGGCTCGAACAAATGAACTTTCATTCGAATCAGTGGCATAAGAAAGACAATGCTCGTCGTATGGTTTAAAAAATGAATTTGAAGGGATCATACACTGATCTTGACCTTGTAACTTAGTATGAGAACCAACAACTGTTTTGTATATAGGAAGAGAACGCAAAACTTCAATTTCTTCCTGTGCATAACGGAAGCCATTGGAAAAGAATTCATCTGAAAAAAGTGAAAAAAGTGCATCACAGTTTGAAGCTGAGAAGTTAGTAGGTTCAGTGAAATATCCAGCTTGCTTTACTGCTACAAGTTTGGATGCAATAGCCAGTCCTAGTGATCTCCCAGGAATAGGAAAACAATTGCTCGAAGCAGCGCAATCTAAAAATGCCTCATCAAATATGGGTATGTTACACTGGTTTAACATTGGCAATAACCAAGGATAACTAGTTTGGAGTCTTTCAAAAGCTGAAATGTAGGACTCAGCTAACTCAGATTCAGAGTTATTATCCCTAGATACACCAGCACCACTCACATCAGTTGATTCTCTTTCTATAATCCTAGCAGTGGATATTGTATGCTCCAAAGGAGGAGGAATGAAGACCAAATGCTGTTCTCTTACACGGCATAAGACTGGCCTACCAAGAAAAGCAGGAATTAGGGGCCAATCAGAGAAAAGAGATAATTCTTCTTGAGAGCCCTTAAAACTTTTCCAGAAAATTCTAACCCAATCAGAGGAAGGACCCCCTTGACTGCCAGAATCAGACAGTTTCTCCCATGAAAGCCACGGAGCCGTATTTGATCCCATTACATGGTTCACCCAATCTTCGTGGAAAATTAGCTTCATGTGATGAGCCAGCAGATTAAGAGAGAAGTTCTGCAATTTCAATAGTGCTTGAAGGGATGTGTTAGAAAAAATGTCACTCAAGAGTTGTCGGTCTAACACTTTAGGATGAACAAATTTTTCTCCCAAGGGAACCATTAATGACTGCTGTTCCTTATTCCCAATCCATAGTTCAGTTACACCCAATTTCTTTAAATGGCCAGTGGCAGTTGGACATGGTAAACCTTTGAGTTCCGCCGCAAACGACATTAACTGGAGGTCCCTAGTTTGACCTATCCCTGTCACATGATTCCTGTAAGCTGACGGTGCTCCTGCTCTACCAATATCATCAACAACCCCCCTTCCAAAATCGAATAAAGCCTTTCCTAAACTTGTCACCATTTCCAATGCATCTGCAGAACTGGCTGCACCCTGAGTGGCTATGCCAGTGGAGCTGTGGGTATTAGACTCCAGCTGAGAAGAAGTGCTTCTGACAGCAGTTTCTGGAAACAAAACATTAGTACTAGCTAGATCAACTGAAAAGTTATCTCTGGGAAAACTAGACGACCCTGTTTGCCGAAAATCTGATAAGCAGTATTCAATAACATCTATATACATGTCAACTGATCGAAGATTGATTGATTTTGATGAAACTTTTAGGAGATCCCGGACCATTTTTGGTCTAATTTCACGCACTGAAAAACCCACAGCTTGAATTTCAGTCACTAATTCCCATGGTACAGAAAATACAGGATAGTGCTCCTTTACAAAGCTGCAAACTGTTGCTGGAAGTAAACTACCAACTATCCCATTCCCAGGCTGTGAAAGAAACATGCCTTCTTCAGCCTTGACTAAATTTCCTGAGTACAATTGCCATACTGGAAGGTCAACAATTCGTGAATAAAATGGATGTATTACCCGTTCTTTAAGGCATTCCCAGTCAGCTTTAAGAACTGTAGTTGAACTTGAAGGGATGTTACTGTGGTCGTCAAGTTGAACATTTAGAACTTCCCTCTCAGAAGAACGTGGCCAGAAGGAGTAGATTTGATCTCCAGAAGCCTTCAGAGATTGACTGGTTGGACGGGTACTAGAATCAATTATAGAACTTGAAGCATCCCTTCTCAGCTTTTGAACTTCCAAAACCATTTCAACATAGGAATCACATACACAGGACATGAGCTCTCTGTTCCATGATTCAATTAACTGATTTCCAGCATCAAAGTTCCCCTCGGCTGAAGCACCCTTGTCTTGGTATTTAAAGAGACAGCGGCCTTTGTTGTGACACACAAGGAAACAACCAAAGACAGTCACAGGTAAGTTTATATGACCAGACAAAGGAAGAGGAGTCATAATTGAGCTAGTTGAGTATATATTTGTATGATGGCCATTTCTTGATATAAGTGCTGCTATTCCAGCAACAGGAGTCAAGTTGTAAGCAAGATATCGTCTGAAAAGTAAATATGAAACTTCAATCATGTTAACTCAAAATCGATTTTAAAAGTCGGAGAAAAAAATGTTATTTAACAAAGCATACAATAAAAAAGACAGTGCATCTCTTAAAAAGGAATAAAGGAAAAAGGAAGTCTTAATTACGACAAAACTACGGAAATGAAAAGAATATTTTCCAAGAAATAAGCCAAATTAAGGAAAATACGACACATTCATAAATTTCTCAGTTTCTAGTTTTCTTATTCGTGACTATTTTATCTTTTAGTTCAACAAAAAACTCCATGCTTCCCAAAAATGATCCATCAATAAGTGAGAAGGTTTTGAAGTTAACAAAAGGCAAAAACAGCCATCAATTAGTTGCGAGATATCAACATGGATTATTGATATCCATGCAATTTGAGCATCATGGTAGACACATTATCCACTACATTTTATATAAAAGAACATACCTATCTAATGCCATATTTCTCGTTTGCCCAGAACCCAAGGTGAGTGCAAGAAGCCATCGATCAATGAATGCAGTTCCTTCTGAACATAAATTCACGTCTATTACATGCATCTTAATTGCAGCATTAGAGCTGCTAAATAGTCTTGATAATTGGAACTTTCTCCATTTCTTTTCTGAAAATGGATTCCTCATAATAGAAGACGATGGATCAATGCTAATTGAAAAATTCTGGCATGGATGTGATTGTCCTTCCTCCCATGTTGATATTGATACCTGTATGGAAGGACAGTTTTTTACTCTGATAGATTTATGAAAGCATTCCAAACAAGCATTTTCTCGAGAAGCAGCAAAGTGTCAATGTCAAACAAGACAAAGTGTGTGTACAAGTGTTTTCTATGATTTTTAAATTAAAAAGATAAATGAGTAAGTATATTATAGAGGATAAGGAACATTCCAAAATGAATCAGTAACTAGACACCTACCCATGCAATGCACGGGTCAACAATACTATATAATTTTATTATTAATTATTCTGAGGGTTTGATCTATTTTTATATGGGTTTATTCTAAGGGTTTGATCTATTATTAATTAAACAAATAATTTGATATATTTTTATATGGATGCTTATTTAAATTTTAAGGGTTTGATCTAGTGATTTAAAAAAAAAAATTGGACTCTAGTCTGATCTGTTAAATCTCATGCTTTTTTTTCATTCTGTATCGATCTACAACAGAATAGTTATAAAATTACCTCCAATACTGACTTCAGAAATAAGAGTGCTCTAGATCCATGCTCCATAAATATGTCGATGATATGCTTTACTCGGTTTGCCCCCAAGTCAGATCCAACCTTCAAGCAATCGGAGGATAGAGGCATCCGAATAATAGTAGAATCAGATAATGACCATAGGTCATTCTGATCGATAAGCATTGGACTAAACTGATCATGAAATCGTTGTTTCAGATCAGTACCTGAAAACCTCAAAAATAAACAACTTAGTTCTACTATTGCATAGAAAAGTGAATATCAAAATTGAAGATATATATTTTCAGATTTCAAAAAGAAATAAATGAATAATAATGTTCTTTTACTTCATTAAAACAAAAATAGTAAGGAAGAAAAACATCAAAGTATAAGATGACAAGCAAGAAACAGTAACACACTACGAATATACATGCAAGTAAGAAGAAAATACTTGCAGGCCTTACAATTTTGTAACACATCAAAGGCCATATCTATGAAACTATCATTAACTGATTACCATTAAAGATGCCTAAGAATAAAACTTCAAATATATTTATGAATTCTTGAAAATGTATTTCCGTTTTAAGAATAACTAACAACTTGAATGACTAATATGTTAATAAAGGGTTGCTCATTAACCACCCTTTATATATCATTAACCAATTGAGTGATTAATTATTCCGAAACTGAAAATTTTCCAGTTTAAGAACAGTAAACAACTTAAATGACTAAATATGTCCATATGCGGTTGCAAACTAACCAGTCTTTGTGTATCATTAATCAACTGAATGATTAATTATTCCAAAACTGAAAATAACTTGAGCCCAAAAGAAATTATTGAGTATTTATCTTCTATAAGTTTCAAAGAATATAACAAAGTACAAATTGTGTACTTTGATAAATTTGAAGAGAAGGTAGGTGAAAAGAAAAAACATTTAGTGAATGATTATAGTTAAGAGTGTTTCCCTCTTTCTTATGAGTATTATTAGGCAAATATTGTACTAGTTGTTTTACAACCGTACTAGTTCAAAATTTTCAGTACAAATGGTGAAAACATACATGCCTACTATTCTTAGAGCCAACAGCCCCAAGCATATGACATTGTATAATATGTTTCGACCTAAAGTACATACTGTACAGTGATATAAGTCAGCAGTGCAGTAAAAAACCATCAACGCGACAGAGAAAGAGAAATAAAGAAAACTATTTTACATTAATATAGACGGTCGCAATATACCTATCAAAGAAAACATCTTTGCTGATGGGGCATTAGTTGAAACTCCAGCAAGTACCAAGCCACGAGGATCAAACATATAAAAGTAGCCACCAGATACAACTGAGAGAAGCTCGCATACTGAATAACAACAAACCAATCCCAAACCATAATTAACTGTGTTTCCACGTAATCTCCATGGAGGAAGGAGCTGGAGACTACTAAATTCCTCTCGACTCAAGCAAGCACCTTCAAAAATTGCTACAAGAGCAGGCCCTTGGAATTCACCTGTATGAATAAAGCATGCCATGTTAATAGCAATTTAGAAAAGTTATAAAAAAACTTAAACACAATATGGTCATTTCACTACAAATAAACAGCACATGAGCAAAAGCAATGGTGTTTGGAACAATTATGCATGAAAGGCTGTGAGCTGTGAACAATGATGTTTCAAACAATTATGCATGAGAAAGAGAAAGGACAGCTATGTGCATGAGGGAGAAAGGTACAAGGCAACAAGGGAAAGCTGCTTCGGTAAGTAGAACCTGTGGCCACCAAGTCACAAGGCAACAACCTAACTGCTGAATGAGAAAGGAAAGGAATCCACTTAGAACCCTCGTAGGCATACCCACTAGATAGGCTAAGTCTTCTATGGTCACATACATAGCTGGTTATGTCTTAAGCAGCTAAGCTCACTACGCAAGTATGGTGTTCTTTCTACTTAGGCCCCTTGTTACATTGGTCTAATTCTTCCTCTGCATCTTTCACCTTTTCTGAAATCGTATAGCTCAACCCACAAACTTGAGTAGGATGGCTAGCATGGTGAGCCCACCAATCCCACCCAGCACGGATACAGTCATTTTCCAAAACCCTGGGGAACCACTTGGGTTACAAAATTTAGGACAACCCTTGACATCTAGAAGAATGTGATATACTCCAAAAAGTACATCAAAATTATTAAAAAATATCTCACCTAAATTGTGCTGAAGCAAAGACTGGCGAGGATGTTCCCTCTTATCATAAACTAGGTGTAACTTCTTGGCTTTGCAGCAATCTGCCAACTCAAGAAGGTCAAACAACAAAAATTCACTGTTTCCATACAAAGCCAAAAGTTCATTTATTTTATTGTAATCCATGCACGGCAGATTTTTAGTCATATCTTCACTGACTAGAGAGAGGCAACGAACCGACTGTACTCCCAGCCTTTCTGCCAAATCATTGCTGATACATGGATGCACAAAATGTCTCCCAACAAGAGAATTGTTTTCCATCCAAGGTGCATCGTTGTATACAAGATCTCCTGAATACATCAGAACTCCAAAAGCATCAGGAATCAACAAGGGACTGTCAAAAGGATCAAAATGTGACTTCTCCGGGCAACATTCTTGTATAGCTTCAAGAACACAGCGAACAAAATTTAACTGATCTTTTGAAAGAGGAACTCCATGCACATCATTCTGCAACTTCTGCAGCACATGAAGATAGTCTGAAATACCAAAACTCAATTTGACTCCTAACTTTATCATCAAATCTTTATACTCGGAAAGTTCAGATGGAACCACATATAGGTAAGGAGTAAATTTTACTGGTGAATCAAATGCAAGTGCATTTGGAGATACAAAATCATCACCAATCCAGATCCAAGAAACACCATCTAACCCTCCTTTCAGTTCAATGAAGTCATCAGTATTAATATATTCTTGCAATTTTGAATAAAGGCAGGGTATTTCCTTTTGCAAGTGAGCATCAAAATCAGAATCCAGCAATGAATGTGTCTTCAGCTGTGTATAGGACTTAGATAGCTCAATTAATTGTTTTGATAAAACATTTACATTTGGGCAATCCATCCACCCAAGTTTTGTTTGTAGATATGCATTGTCACATTTGCCGTCTAATATAAGCATTGAAGAAGATACCATCCACATCTGTGATTTAGGCCTCACAGTTGTGGGGGATGCTACTTGGTTACTGGATTGTAACCAAGGAAGTCCCCTAACAGGTGGATCAGAAATAACTGGACACCAAGAGATTAACTTCAATTCAGACCAAAATTCTTCTTCTGGCATGTCAAGAATAGAGCTGCTAATAAATGAATCAATATCATTCATGGAGCTCTCATTTTCACAAAAGCCATCACATAGAACAGCATCATCCATTATGTTGCTACTTCCCACAGCCATGCCACTCCACTCATCACCATTCGTACTTTCTTCTTTATTTGAGAGCTTACGCGATAATGTATCTAAAAACCCCAATAACTCTCTACCATTCTTGAAGGCTTCATTGTCCCCAGAATCGTGCAACAAGCTGACTGATCTAGCACAATCAAGCAAACCAGAAAATCCCATACTGGTCCTAAGTCCAAGGCTAACTAAAGTATCCAAAATTTCTGGATCTAAAAATTTGTCAGAGGGAAAAAAAGCATCTGTATGCAGCATCTTTTTAAGCTCAGGAACCCGAGGATCATAAAGCCTGCATTAATATTTTAGTCAGTAATCCAAACGTCAGTTTTGAAGCAAGTAAATTACTTAATCAAGAAGCTTAACCCTTTAAGGATAAATATAATAGACTATATCATGCACCAGAAAATCAATGTTCACGTATTTACAGATGACATGATATCTAATTGCAGCACATTTTTATAAAGCAATTCATATATTACCTGTTTTGGTTTGGTCAACCTCCAACATGAGTGCAAACATATATTGTAGTTAAAGTGTGATTATTTTCAATTAATAAGGTTGCAAGTTAAACACTAAAAAATATTTTATAATATCTTTCATATTATTTCAGAAAATCTTAAGTTATTTCCTAGAATCAATTTATAATCTTAGAGGATCCATTAAGAGGAAACTGAAAAACTTGAATGCAAACCTACAAGTATTCCCATTGAACAAAATTATAAGATGAGCTATGAGGAGGAACGTGCCAAAGTTGACAAGGGTCTGTATCAGAGGCTAGTGGAAAAGTCGATTTATTTGGCACACACTAGGTCAGATTCGGCATATGCAATCAGTATGGTGAGTCAATTCATGCATGATCCAAGGGTGAGTCACTTGCAGGTTGTAGACGTGTTCTACAATATCGCGAAGTCACTACAGGGAGAGGACTCTTGTTTAAAAGAATGGAAGTCTAACAATGGAGGCTTACATAGATGTTGATTATGCAGGTTCAGTGATTCATAGAAGATCTACTTCGGGCTATTGTACCTTCTTGTGTGAAAACCTTGTTGTTTGGAGAAGTAAGAAGCAAAATGAAGTTGCTCGATCAAGCGTAGAAGCAAAATTCAGAGCTATGACATTAGAAATTTGTGAGTTGTTATGGATGAAACAAGTGCTAGAAGATACAGCGTGAAGGCCCTATGAAGTTGTTTTGTGACAATAATCGGCCATCGGTATTGCACATAATTATGTCCAGCATGACCGGACAAGACACGTTGAGATTGACCGACATTTCATATGAAAAGTTGGATACTGGATTTATAACTACCGCCTACATACCTTTTGAGCATTAACCGATAGATGTGTTAACAAAGGATTTGCAAACAGAAGGATTCAACCAACTTATAGATGTTTTACTTTATTAGTACAAGGGCCATTAGATAAGCTCATTAGATAAGTTCAGTAGGTTTATATTTATCTATATTTAAGTGGCTTTATTCTAGTATTGTAAATTGCAACTTTGAAATATATTTTCTACATTATATAATTGTAGAAATATATTTTCTACATTATATAATTGTAGAAATATATTTTATATTTCCTTGTATTTGATGAGAATTACATATATTGTGAAATTCTGGCAACAGATACTTAATGTCACAGCTAATGTTATGACACCGTATCTGACAAATCGTACACAAACCAAACAGTAATTTAAAAGACAGTAAATAACACAATCAATTGTTAACCCAGTTCAGTGTATAACAACACCTACATCTGGGGGCTACCAAGCCAGGGAGGAAATTCACTATAAGAGGTATTAATTTAGGAATAAACCAACCAGTTTATCTCCTTCACTTAAGACCTACCCAATGCAACTTCAATCTAAGTCCTACTTAAACCTGAGTTCCTACTCACTCCCCATCAATCACAGCAGTGATACTAATCTACTGATTAATAAGATTATGAAGACATTCTTCAATACACACGCTTGATTTTGCTTCAAAGCTTTAATCAAGAGACACAACACTCGTGCTTCAAAGCTTTGAGTGATAAATAACCCTTACAACCAAATCCTACTCCAAATCACTTATCAAGTGATAAATGCTTGGCTCACATTAATTACTAAAACTATCACAACTACAAAATGCCTTATTGATCTTCTGTAAAAAGCGCTGCACACCATTAGGATTCTTGAGAAATATATATGCAGTTTATTCTTCATTTTGGGCTTCCATAAAAATAGCTAGGGTTAACCAAAGTTAACCTAAAGACTTGGTCTTGGGCTTTCATCATAATAGATTAGGGTTAAGCAAGGTTAACCTAATATCCACGTAAGCATCTGATCTAGTCAATAAACTTCAACTCAGAAAGACACACCAGATTCCTGAAAATTCTCAGGAACAATAAATCTGCACAACTTGATCAGTACAGGATGTCTTAACATTGGTTATGACATCATGTATCCTGCTCACTGATTTTGGTAGAATCCAGTACATAAGACCGTAACTTAATCATCATGATATTCACTCATACTGAGTTGTTCCTGTAGAACATTCCTTCTGCAGAATTTGTCTTTATCCCAGAATGTTATGACATCAGTCATGACATTCGCAAATCTAGTTTTACCAAAAATTAATGTCAACAAGCAAACACTTACAAACTCTCCATTTGGCAAATTTTTGGCTAAAAACCCCTAAACAATCAGAGATTAGAATGCAGAAGCAACATGCAGATCAGAAATCAAAATGCAGCAGAGTTTTTAATAACAGTTAATCTAACTACCAATATCAAATTCTACCAAAATTACCACAATTACTTCTCCCCCTTTTTAGCCATAAAGAGGCCAAAGGATCTAGTACTTCAAGTTATACAGTCATCAAAAGGAAATCCAAAATACACAGAAACAGAGAGAAGGTATCAAATAGCAGCAGCAAGTTCCAACATCAATCTTTACACCTCAGCAAACACAGACCTTCAGGTGCTGTCATCCCCTGAGGAAGCACTATTATCAGCAGCATCTTTTGGTGAGCTTCTTGCAGAACCATCATGTTGTTCTTCATCAGCATCCTCTTCCCTCATTTGTTCTTCATTCTCCTCCTGTTCCAGACTAGTAATCAGCTCTTCAAGAGTCATTTTTCTTGCATCAAGCTCTCTGCAGGTTTCTTTTAGAACAGCTATAACATCAGCTTTCTTGGGATGAGCTTTGACATTTGATGTCTCAGCAGATGTCATAACAATGTCAGGGACATGTGTTCTCTGAAACAGCTTATAGTGAAAACCAAGTGCAGGGGCTCTTTTGCACACAGAGTCCTTTTCAACCAGAATATCAGGATACTGATCAATGATTATACCACACAGGAGAGAGGGAAAAGCAATAGGACCTTTAATAGCACAGCTCTCAGCATGTTTCATTGTTTGATCAAAGATGTAGTTGCCATAATCAAAGTTTGTTCTGGTTCCAACAGCATAGATAAATCTTCCCAAACCAGTGGAGATGGTGGATTTGTGGTTGGTGGGAACCCAGTTAGCTGCACCAATTTTGTGCAGTATGGCAAACTTCACACTCAGCTTGCTTGCAGTTAGCTTCCCTTTCAAGGGCCAGTGCTTGACTTGCTTGGCAGTGATGGTTTGACAAACCTGGTTGTCAGTAACTTCAAGCTCAGGCTGAGCATCATCAGGCCTCCCTAGGTATTTGTTTATCACAGTAGGAGAGAAATTTACCTTCCTTCCTCTCACATAAACACTCTTAAAATCAGCTGATTTTCCATCAGCACATCCACCAGACAAATTTACTATGAATTCTTTGCAAGAATCTCATAGCAGTTGGAAAACTTGACCACTGTTTTCATCAGGCCAGCAGCTTTGATGAGATCCATGACTTCCTTACACTCAATAGCACTTCTGTTCAGCTCCCTCTTTAAGGCAATCCTTTTCAGAAACACATACTTCCACCTGCTTGCATTTTCTGGATGGTGAAAGGAGATGTTGTCAATGGCAACCTCAGGAACCTTAGACAGTTTGCTAGAAGAGAGTTTCTTCCTGAGAGGAATGTCTGGAACATTGCTCTCAACATCAAAATCAAAGTCTGATTCCTCATCAGATTCAGAGGGTTCAGGAGCCTTTCTTTTCTTGGCTATAGGTTGTCTCAAGGATTTTGAGAGACTACCAACAGATACCCTAGCTTTTACCTTACCCTTCCCTTTGGAAGTTCCAACCTTTTGATCCTTCTCAGCTTCTTCTCTAGCCTTGTTCTCAGGCCTAGCTTTCTCATGAACAACTTCAGTAGCCTTCTCTTTGGAGGGGCTTTGGGCAGCACTCTACTTTTCTTTTCTACTCATCATCCTTCTTGCTATGCTAGGGTTGATATTAGCAATTAAATCATTGTCAGAAAATTCTTCATCAACATCAATGACAGGAGGTTCAACAGCCTTGTCAGTAGGGATCTGGTGATCATCAGGTTTCTCTGGAGATTTCCCAATGTTGTCATCAGGTGTCTCAACATTCTGAGTGACATTGGGATCACTTTCTAAATTAGGGCTAACAGTTTCTTGGTTCAATGGTACAGATACACCAGGAACAGAGTGATTCTCATTAAGAATCCTAGTGACTAGTCTGGCAATAGCTTGATGCACATAAGCAGAACCTTCCCTATTAGCTATCTCTGGAGGAACAAAGGATGGTGGTTGAGAAGATTTACCAGAGGGAGAAGCTTGTGATCGTCTTGCATGTCTGGTTCGCAGCTTCTTAACCTTAGTAGGATCAGCTGCCATTGCACGAAGTGGAGTTACCTCAAGAACATCAGCACCCATGGGGTTTACGATTGCCCTAGATTCGGTGTCAGTGGATGAGGGAGATGCAGTTGCCTTTTATGAAGATGATGACACAGATTGTTGAGACATCTTGAGAGATTGAGAATACAAGTGACAGCAAGTGTGAAATTTTCTTTTGAGGGAATGGAGAGTGATGCAGCAAACTGAGAAGAGGGAGATATAAATATGTCTATTCCTCTTCTTAAACTTTTGGAAAGAAAGAGGGAAACAAATGATTAGCCCAATCAGAATAAACTTGATTAAAGTATCTCTTTCAAACCTTGTATTAAGCAAAATTAATTACTACATCTCTTCATATTGGCAAATACCCAGCTTGCCCCTTAAACTCTCAAACTGACTAGCATCAAGTGCCTTGGTAAAAATATCAGCCAGTTGTAGTTCAGTGGCAACATGTTCCAGCTTAATCACCTTCTCCTCCACAAGATCTCTGATGAAGTGATGTCTAATGTCAATATTGAGATGTGGTTGGGCCTAATTC